TAAAATTAGGAAGGATTTAATATATAATGACGCGAGCAGTTGTTTAGAGTCAAGGGAACGTCCTTAAGATACTACGGAATGAAAGGCCAAACAGTTCAATATTGTTCTTTCATTTATTTCAAATTCTTTTGAGATTAGTTCAAAATATTATTTAGATTTACGATCCTCGTGGGAACGATAATTTGGGCACTAATAATCTCACTTATTACTTAATGCGTGCACTTGCGCAACTGGGTCAATATCTTAAAAACGAATGCATTTTCTCTTCATAGACTAAGTTAGGGAACGTCCTTAAAAGCATCAGCACCCAACAATATACTTGTTGTAATCGCAACAACTGGTCAATAGAGTTTGCAAAAGCAGATGGAATCTCTCACAAAGATAATTGTTAAGAATCAAATCTCTGCCATCAATGCTGAGGAACAGTAGTGTATGTCATATGTGCGGAAAGATATTTGACTGCGAGCTGCTCACTAGCTCAACCTTCAGAAGTCAACTATATGCGGAACTAGCAAAGGAACAACTTCCAAGGTAGCAACAACACGGGTTGGAGGAATAACTCAGTTTTATCCTACAAACCTCAATAGCAACAATAGTCACAGATGACTTACAACCTTATCCATCTTCAGCTTTGGAGAAACTGGTGGAGACCATGGCTTCAACCACCAATGCGTTCATTAAAGAGACAAGATCAAACTTCAAGACTCAAGAAGAATCGATCAAGAATCAGGAGGCTTCAATTCGAAATCTTGAAACTCAGATTAGACAGTTGGCCAAACAATTTAATGAAAGAGCTCCGGGGACTATGCCTAGTGACACTGTGATTAATCCAAGAGAGTACTGCAATGCAATCACCACTGGAGTGGGAAGGTGATTGAACCTCGAGATAAGCCAGCCAAGGTATACAAGGAAGCACCAAAGGAGGAAGAGAGAAGAGAGAAGATTATGAAAAATTAGAAAAATCATAAGATATCATTTTATTAAAAAATAACAAGATATTATTTTATTAAAAAAAATATTATTTATTAAAAAAATACGAACTGGGCCTAGAGACTTAAGGGCCATTCCCGCTAAAATAGACTTGATGTAGGTAATTAAGGGGATATAATTTTCTTTTCGGGGTTTTTTTTTTTAATTTGAAGGGTTTAATTTTCAGGACAAACAATTCATTAATATTACCAAAATGATATTTTATACATATAATATTTAAAAAAAAAAGGGGCGAGGCCAACCCTAGCCCCCCGAAATCTGCCATGTTCCAAATGAGTTGTTCTCATTAGCAACTCAATTTTTTTTTATATCGACCTTAATTATCACTTTTGAGGCAAGTTGGCTTCCCAGGTTTTTTCACAAGCTTCAATTCTTTGAGTCGATTATGAGACTAATCCCGAATCGGAGCAGGCAAAATTAAAACTTTTAGCCTCTCCCTAAAAATATATTTAATAATAATCGAATCTAGATTCTCTCTTTACCTATTCAACCTGGGTAACCTACTGAGGTGGGGCCATTTTTTTCCCTCGATGATCTTGGTTCACACACACACACATACACACACATATTATATATATATATATATATATATATATATATATATATATATATATAGAGAGAGAGAGAGAGAGAGAGACAGGATCCTTTGACACCGGTGTCAAAGAAAAAGTTTGACACCTCATCTGAGAGCCGTTAGATTAAAAAAAATCAACGATTCTGATTTGTAAGCATGTGACACCATTGATTTTTTTTAATCTAACGGCTCTCAGATGAGGTGTCAAACTTTTTCTTTGACACCGGTGTCAAAGGATCCTGCCTGCCTATATATATAATATATATATATATATATATATATATATATATATATATATATATATATATATATATATATATATATATACATACTTGTTGTCACTTCCTCTTTTGTTTTGTTTTAATCCTTTTTCCCTCTACATGACTATATATACGACCCCACGTCTACTTTTAAGTTTATTACTATTGAGTCTAACATTTATCAATAACCTTAATTGTATATAATAGATATCAATATAGGTGAGTGGGGACAATCCAGGAAATCAACTACGTTCCAAATGAGTTGTTCTCAACTTCTAACTGTCAACCCCCTTTTTTCCCACTTGATGATCTTGGTTCACACGTATATGGATGGTTGTCACTTTCTCTTTTGTTTTCTTTACATTCTTTTTCCCTCTGTACGACCCCACATCTACTTTTACGTTTTTAACGTGTGTGAAAGTGCTTTATTTTTAACGTGTCGTGTCGTGTCACGTGTCGTATCGGTGCTACATAAATTTTAAGTATTAAATTCTTATTCTTATCATAAATAATTATTTAAGAGATTTTACTCTTTCTATGAAATTCTTAAAATTTAATTAAGTTAATCTAAAGTGTTTTATTTTTCTGGGATGTTACAAATCCCATACTAACCATAATAATTGCAGTACTATTTACAAGAAAACCTTAATCCCAGTTGTATTCTGCATGCACCTAATTCATGCTTTAATGTGTGTACAGAAATGATAGATGTACACCATTTTTCTTTTCTTTTTTTGAAAATTTCTCCATTTGTTTATTAATTATTCAACTAAATTGGTTGAGTTCCACAGAATTACAAGGACGGCAAAACCCTTGTAATCAAAACATAACTATGTACCCAAAAATTAAATTTGATATTATTGATTAAGTTGAAATAACCCTATACTAATTATCGTTATGCTTGGTGGTATACTATTTTTTATATATTATTTATGCTGATAATTGGTATAGATCAATATGTATCATGTGATGATTACTATATCTAATTGGTAATAGATTAATATCCTGTTCATCATATTACATGTTAATTATTTGTACCTCAACCACTTATGTAAAAATGTTGTGAAAAAATGATCTGTAAAATGCTCAATTGATTTATTTACGGCGATTGTTTTTCTCATTTAACATAAGAGAAAACAATCTCTTACACACACAAATGGAAGAAAGAGGTTCTACCCAAAAAAAAAAAAATGAAAGAGAGAGGAAAGATAATAAGGAAGAGAAAAAAAATTAAAATGAATCCTATTACGATCTAATAGATCGATATGTCCAATCAGGGATTGGTATGTTAATATATGATCTGTTTGTCCTCTCTCAGGGTACCTATAGAGAGTACCTTAGAGATCAGCGGATCATTGTGCACAATATTACAAACGACATAGTTAAGGCGTGAGGTGTGTGCACAGTGACAAGCTAGAAGAGATGGTTTAGAGTGTGTGTACCTCATTGGCTTAACCCCTTATTTATAGATGGATTACCTGGCAAGAGTGTACTTCTGGGCCTCTTAGGAATATTGAGGGACCAAGTCCAACTACTTAACTGTCTGGATAGAATCGCCATTAACAAGAAGATTCCCTTCCTGTTTGTGCTGTCCTTTATTGAACCTTCTAGAAGTCTTTGTCAGGTCCATAACAAATTCTACATTCAATTTGTATCTAGTGCATGAGATAATAATCTCATACAACATGAGATTATTATTTTCCTTTATTTATTATACAAAAATTAAATTGACATTTGTTTCTTGTCTCTCCATTCATGTGAGGAAAATCATACACGTATACATTTGAATTATTCAACTTTTCAAATTCATATTAAGTATGATAAGATATGAAGCTACACTTCTTGCATTTTTTTTAATACCAACCCGAATAGGTTTAGCTTTTTTAGCTGGCTATGAGATTATTTCTGAGTGCGGGACATGTTAAAGATTAAAGTTTTATACCCTTCCTCTGGAGTGGATTAAACCAAGAATTTTTTCCATCCACTCAACTTCCTTATATCAGTTGAGCTGCTATCATTGGCTACACTCCTTATAGTTATTATTATAGGTGTAGGAAATCCAAATCCTATAACTGGAGTAGTGTGAGGAAAAGAACCGTTTAGAAGTTAATAGCCGAAGACTTCTACTCCAAAATTATATTAAAGAACTTGTTTGGTTTCAGAAATTAATTTTTATAATTTTTTTTGTATTTTCCAAAAAAAAAAAAAAAAAATATTTTTTATTTTTGAAAATATTCATAATTTTCAGTTTTTAAAAATATATCTCTCGCTCCCTGCAGCTCCTCTATTTCTCTTATCACATCAAATAAAATTATTTATATACACAGATAACTTTGATTTCATAGTGTTTAATTCTCTTTTTGACTGTGGAATTGAGGAGTCCATAATTTTTGCCACATTCCATTAATTCAATATTGGCGGAGGAGACTGCAATAAACTCATAGTTGACATGATCAGATAGACATTTATTTTGGGTCAATTGATTGGGGTAATGTGTATTTTGTAAATTATGTGTTTTATTTTATACAATTATATAATTGTTTACTGCTATTTTTTTTATGAATAATGTTTTATTTTATTTATAAACTTAAATTTTATTTTTATCTTTTTTTCTTAATTTTTTTGTATTTTTCATTTAGATTTATCTATTATCGATTCCAACTAATTTAGATAAGGGGAATATTAATCTTATGTTACATGAGAGTATTATCTCATGCTATAGAGAGAGTTTAAGTGGGGTCCACCATTAAAAAGTAAAAAAGAAAAAGAAAAAAAGAAGGGGTGTGATTTTTGATGTGAGAGAAAATGAGATAACTACCTCATCTAAAATGAGAGTAGTATTTCCCTTTAGATAAATGTCTTATTGACGTTGATGTTGATATTAATAATATATATTTATATAATTTAAGCACATTTTACGAGTGGCTATGAAAAGTAAACAATTATAAATACTTATTCTTTATTTAGTTGTATTTATCATCAACTCCAATAAATTTGGAATAAAGATATTGTTGAGGTTGACATTGATGTTGACGTTGATATTATATAAATCATGCAAATTTTACTGGTGGATGTGAAAAATAAGTTAAATTACGCAGTAACTGTAGCAATCATTTCAAGTTCTTCATCCATTATCATCTTTCTATAAAAAAGCCAAAGCTTTATGGTGTCACTAAGCCAAGCATTAGTAGTGGAATACTAGCATATATTGATCACATAGCACATCCATTCAGCAAAGCAAAACCCCACATGCCCTCTCACACAATCTTCAGTTCAGAATCTGATGAAGACACTTGGGTTATCCAAATTAATCACTTGGTTAGCGAAACCAACCTCACAATCTTGAGCAAAATGCCCGTTTGCATTTACCAAGTTCCAAAATCTTTGAGTTGTGCCAAACCAGAAGCCTTTACCCCACAAATTAAGAGACGTGATCATGGTTGAGAACCAAATTCCAACCTTCATATTGAAGAGGATCTTGTTGATTGAAAGATCCGAAACTGAAGATTCAGTTGAAGAATACCTGGGTTCAATGCTCTTGTCATTCTGTGAGAAACACTGTTCAGTACTCAAGTTAACTCAAACCCCAAAATGTTCTGAAGCTTTCAAGCATTGCCATCTCTTGGATCTGTTGTACCATTTAATTGTCTCTGAGCATGAAAAGCCAGAAAAACAAACATTTGAATCCGAAGGTATGTAAACCCCCTAGTAATAATGCATGTACCACTAGTTCTCCTAAAGGCATAGTCACATTCTTAAAGAAAGTTAAAGTTCCATTTACATGGATAAAAGATGCTCTCAAAAAGCTTAAGGACACGAATATTCCTCTTTTGGAACCAATTAAAAAACCCATAGATGCAATACTCCATTTGTCAAAGTTTGAGCCTTTATCATCAGATTTGTCCAATTCTGAAACAGAAGCTCCTGTGGTTGTCACCATTCCTTCTCTGTGTGAGCTTTTTTCTGTTGGGATCCGTTTTAAACCCTCTGAAGGTGGCATCAAGGACATTCATTTCGACAAGATGAAGGGCATGTTTTACCTCCATGTGATCAAATTGGATGTGAACTCAGAAGTGATAATGAGAAACATAGTGGCTTATGAGGCCTTGACTCAACCAGATTCACTCGTATTCACAAGGTACACAGAGTTGATGCGTGCAATCATAGACACTGTGGAGGATGTTAAGCTTCTGAAGAAGGCACAAATCATAGAAAAAACTAGTTCTCTCAGTGTGGAAGAAACTACGGATCTTTTTAATGGGATGAGCAAATCCATCGGACCTACTAAGACTAAAAAGTTGGATGAAACCATTCAGAAAGTTAACAAGTACTTCCATGATAAGCGTAAGGGTAACCTCTATTGGATCTTCACCAATTATGTGTACTCTTCCTGGAAGTTCTTCACACTTCTTTCCACCTTTGTGCTCTTGGCCATGACGGCTCTTGAAGCACTTTGCTCGGTTTATGATTGTCGTAGTCATTTCAGGCTGAAATGATTCTCTCATATCATTTTTCTTATTAGAGGTTGTGTGTGGTGATGTTTTTTAGTGGTATAATGATGTAGTGTTATTAGTATGGTAATTAGTGTTTATGGATGTTCACATGTGTTTATTGTTGTAATCAGATATATACGCTTACCATGGTTGCAGGTTTCTATAATTATTCGATCATATATAGGACATATGAGCTTGTATCAATAGCTTTCATAAGTAATGCAAAGCAGCTAACCTGTTTGTGGTACCAGAATTGTTTTTCTTGATTATATATGTGTGGCAGAAATTAAGGCAGAAATCCATTATAGCTTTTCAATTTGTAGATATGTTTCTTTTTATTTTTTTTATACCATCCGTAATTATTTCTTTGAGACAAATAAGCTTTTATATAAGTATCTCCATGAATTTCGAGTCTTTGAATTGGTTATAAAATTAAAATATTGAATACAAGGCGAGTCAAGAATTAAAATTTTATGTCTCTCTTAAGATGATATTAGTGAAAATCAAACCGAAATTCTTCCCTATCCACTCAGCTCGATCCTTTACCCTAACTGAGCTGACATCATTGGTTTGTACACATGTTATATGTCTTCTCTCAACTTTGTCCTACTAAAAGACTTCGTAGCATGGATACTCTAGCAAAATTATTGTTTATTATCAGTATGTTATATTTTATGAAAAAGGGCCCTTCATTTTTTTATTTTTTTATTTTACCATTTTGTACTTTAGAAATTGTAATTTATGAGGAAAATATTTACAGATTTGAGGTTAAATGTGTTGGAGGTTATGAATTTGAGAGAGAAGGGTTTAGAGGTGCTTGAAGTATTACACCAAGAGATATCAAGTTTGAAATGCTCAACAGTGTTACCTCCAGCCTAGGAAACCCTAGACATTATGCAAGCTATTGGGCTCCAGCCCATATGAACCCAAATAACCATGATTTCACCTATTGGGCTTATATGTAAACATATTATTGGATTATATTATTAATATATCCAACAATCTCCTCTTATGTTCACCATATAGCACAATCCAATAGAGTGATCAATATAATGTTCAAACAAATATGAATCATTCATATCCAGTCCAAGACAGTTAACTAGGATCAATCAAAGAGTTTTAAGAGTAAAATATTAAACTCAATCGTCATTTTCAATCTAAATAAATAAATCATCATTATCATGAATCTGTTATGAGACCAACATACTAAAATAAATATTTTGAGTTTTAGATTCAATCTAAACTCATCCAAATCCCAACATCCAAAATAAGTCTCAAAATCAGTTCACAATCAACAATGTTCATAAAATAAAGATAGTAAAATATAAGTCTCAAATAAATGGACTCCATCAAAATGGACAATAACGGGTGAACTGTCAAGTCCCCATTTACATCAAGGAGGTGATCTTAGTCAAGATCCCTCTCATTAAGCTCTCCTCCATCTCTGCCATCCTCTGTAGAATATCAAATATGAATTACATATTATTATGAATTCAATCAGTTGAATAATCTACCAAAGATGTCTAGTTTTACTAAAAGAACTTAGCATCATATCATCAGGCAAAGAAGAACATATATTAATGTCAGAAAGCATTGTAATATTATGTTCATAAGCATCAAGCCAGTTTCATAAATTATGAACAAGGCCTAAACAGATTGTTTTGCAAAGAGCAAATCAATTTATGTTTATTTGTAAGAGAATAACCATTGTCTAGTTTCAATGAACAGGACCAATAGTCAAGTCACTTACAATAACCTGGTCATGTGATGCCAAGTTTCAATTAAGAAAGAGACCCGCAGGCTTCTTATGCAAACTACTATTTCAATAATTCAATTTGGAATGTCACAATTACTGATTCTAGCACGGCCTCGATCTTGTTGGGATCCACTGTAACTCCATCAGCTGAAATCACATGCCCCAGAAACTTGACTGATTTGAGCCAAAACTCACACTTAGAAGGTTTTGCATAAATCTTTTTCTCCTTCAGCACTTGCAGAACTACCCTCAGATGCTCCGCATGCTCCTCCTCAGTCTTGGAGTAGATCAGAATATCATCAATGAAGACAATCACAAACTGATCCAGATACGGATGGAAAATCCTGTTCATGTAATCCATGAACACTGCTGGTGCATTGGTGAGTCCAAACGGGATCACCAAATATTCAAAGTGACCGTATCTCGAACGAAACGCGGTCTTCGGGACATCCTCCGGCTTCACCTGAATCTGATGGTATCCGGACCGGAGATCAATCTTGGAATACACGCAAGCACCCCTGAGCTGATCCAACAGATCATCAATCCGAGGAAGGGGATACTTGTTCTTGATCGTCACCTTGTTCAACTACCGGTAGTCGGTGCACAATCTCATTGTCCCGTCCTTCTTCTTCACAAAGATGACCGGTGCTCCCCAAGGAGACACACTCGGTCGGATGAAATCTTTCGCCGAAAGATCCTCAATATGCTTCTTAAGCTCAGCCAACTCCGGTGGTGACATTCGATATGGAGCTAAAGAAATCGGCCCCACACTAGGCAACAAGTCAATGGAGAACTCTATCTCCCGCTGTGGTGGAAACTCAGGGATCTCCTCAGGAAACACCTCCAGGAACTCCCCCACCACAGGAATGCCAGTGATATCCTCCTGTGTCCCACTCACCAAACCACCCAACAAGACATATCCCAATGCCCCTGCTCGCAAAGCTCTCTTGGCCTGCAGCAATGAAATGTATGGCGAGGAACTAGCTGTGAAATCACACGGAGACATCACCACGCGCTTTGCACGACAATTAATCATTGCACAGTTTCTAGACAACCAATCCATGCCCAGAATAATCTCAAGGTTGGCCATCGGCAATCCTATCAGATCCGTCGAGAACTCACGGCCGTCCCACTGAAACGCTACATCGCGATGTACAGTGGTAGAATCACATATTTCTCTGGTGGCGGTAGTCACCCGCAACGGTGGAGAAAGCACAGACATGGGCAGCTCAAGCCCCAAAGCAATCGGGGTAGCAACAAACGAATACATAGCCCCGGAATCAAACAATGCATCAACATCAATACCACCAATAGACACAGTACCTCTAACAAGGTTCGGAGCGCGGTCCGACTGCTGCCTATCCAAGGTGTATACACGCCCAACAGAAGGTGGCACCGCAGGTGCCGAAGCAGAAGCCATCGGAACCATCTGCAAAGGAACTGCCTGAACAGCTGTAGCTCTCGCCGTCGACGACAGACAGTCTCTAGAGAAGTGGCCCTCCTTGCCACACTGGAAGCAAACCAACTGCCCCGAAGCACAACGTCCCACATGCTCCTTTCCACATCCCAAACATCTCGGAGTGGAAGGAGGCCTAGCAGAACTCCCCTGCTGTGAAGCAGCCCTCTTGAACTGACCAGGCGCCTGTCTAGTAGCCAACTGTTTACCCTTGCCCCTCCCGGCAAACCTCTTGTCCTTCCAGAACGTAGGAACAGGAATGGAACCAACAGTCCCCTTGGTCTCGTCGACCTTGGCCCTCTTGGCCTTGCTCGCTATGCAGACATCTTCAATGTCCTTACACTGCTGAACCAGTGTACCAAAGTCCCTCGAAGCAGCTCCAGCAATATGCTCAGCAATCACCTCACTAAGTCCTCTGCGGAACTTAGCGGCCAGAAACAACGGAGTAGAAGGAACCATCCGGAAGTGCGCAAACTTTACTAGCTCATTAAACTTGGTCAGGTACTCGTCAACAGACATCGAGCCCTGAACCAATCTATCAAACTCCCCCTGCTTCCTCTCCTGCGCATCGTAGGGAAAGTATCTGTCAAAGAAGCATTCCTCAAAGAATGGCCACGTCAAAACACGACCCTGCATCTCATAAGCACGAGAGGTGTTCGTCCACCACTCATGGGCATCGCCCTCCAGCATGTAAGTCGAGAACATCTGCTTCTGTGGGTCTGTACATTGCATGACTCGAAAATATCTTGTCCAGCGACTCCAGCCATCTTGCAGCAGCAATAGGATCCAAAGACCCCTCAAACATAGGTGGCTTATGCTTCCTGAAAGCATTCAGCCGGCGATCTATCACATCACGATCCTCAGCAGGCTCTACAAGAGTCTCCCTCGTCTCAGCGACATGAGCAGCACTGCCAATGTGACTAAGGCTCTTATCCTGAACACTAGGTGGAGGCGGCGGCGGCGGTGGCGTTGGTGCCTGGCCTACAGCAGAACCAGCCCTCATCTCCTCCAACATGATTCTCATCATCGTCATGTTCGCCTCGAGGACATCCTTAGTGGTCCTCCGGTTCGCTTCACGAACCTCTTCTGCGGCTATCCGGTTCGCCTCGCGAACAACATCCATCATTGCCGCGTTGGCCAATCTAGTGACCTCTTGATCGGCTAACCTAGCCGCCTGCATCTCAGCCAATGCAGTCAGGATAGGATCGGGTTGATCTTCAGAAGTCTCTCGTGTTCTCCCGGACCTTACCATGACTCTACACAAGTTACACAAATTATGAGTTGATCAGGCCCACACAATGTGATTACATATGCATTATCATAATAAAATTCGACGGAGTAAACACACCGGACAGACACAACCAAACATCCTAACTATTGCAATACATACAGGATTTTCCCTCGAACTATTGCTCTGATACTATAAATGTAACACCCCGTATATATCCGGTAATGTTATCATACTATCGTATTAAGCAGCGCTTAATTAAAAATGCGGAATATCTTTTTCTCTTCAATTATGATGTCATTATCATTACCAATTTGCTTATTAATCAATTAATAAAACATCGCCTGTATGTAGTTGCAATAAAACCACTAACTGAAATACCTCATAACATAGATAAGAATAGTGTGTCTCTAGAAATCACGGGACTACCACAAGTAGGCCGGACCAACTAGCAGGTTATACAACTCCAATCCAAAAGTACTAACATAAAGTGTCACGGACAATCCCAATGCTCACTCAAATAAGGCAACAAAGCCCAACATCAGTCTCAACATAAACAACATAATCTCAAAGCGGGAAACATAAACAACATCTAATATAGTCATGCTAGCATAAAAGCAGTGACAACATAATCAGCTAAGCTCCGGCCTCCTGCCGCCCGAGGCATCAGCCCCCATACTACCTGATCCTGAAATAAGCATTCCCCAAACGTGGAGTAAGATCTCTAAACTAGAAATCTCAGTAAGACAGTGAGTCCTCAAGGATCTTCCACCCCAAGCTCACTTACATGTCCAATATAAGTTCAAAAGCAGTTTATCATCATCAGTTCTAAAATAGTGCAATG